AGGCGCTGAGCCACCCTGCCTGGCTTGATGTTGTTTAGATTATGGAAATTATGAAGTAGCATTATAAAATTATATTTCAAATAATATTTACAAATAAAATGATAAGGAAAATTGCATTTGCCAGATCAGTGTTTTACAAATTACTGGGTAATGCAGAATAACCATTCCTTACTTAGTGGATTTCTTAGAAAAGTAAAGTATTTTTAACTCCAGAGAGTTGAAGCCAATCAGGAAAACAAAATGGCATCTTATGCCACAGAACTTTCCAATTTTGGGGGGGGGGAATTATCATAATATGTCATGAGTAGATATTTTAAATGAGTCTGACCTAAACAAATCTATTTCACCTTTTCTCAGATTTTTGTATTTTCAAGTTAAGATTTGAATATTTTATTTCTACTACCAAATTAGAAGTAACCCAGGTAATAAATCACTTAAAGTATTGCCCTTTCCATCTTTATATAAACCTGATAACATTACACACCTCTTCTTAACACATTCGCTGATTCTTTCAACAAATTACTGAGTGGTTATTACATGCCAGGCAGTGGGAACAAAATAGTGAACAAAATAACTTCTATCTTTGTGGAGCTTATGTTCTAGAGCAAGGAGAAGGCAATGAATAATTGTTTAGTGTTTAGTAAAAAAGTTATGTAATATGTTAGAAGTATTGTGGACATATACAGCAAAATAGGGATGTATGAATCTTTTAAAGAGTAAGTACTGACTTGCTATCTAACGTAAACATTTTCATCTAGTATTTTTCTTCAATTTATAGTTCCAATGACAGGATTTACACAGAGAGCAACCATTGATCCAGAACTGAATGAAATACATGTTTTATCTGGACTCAGCAAGGATAAGGAAAAGAGGGAAGAAAACGTCAGAAATTCATTCTGGATTTATGACATTGTGAGGAATAGTTGGTAAGGAATTCTTGGCTGTGCTGCAGTCTCAATGTATCACTTATTTGAGGTTGTTGGTATATTCAAAAGAAGAGAGAAGTGGGAGGCTTATGTTAATTTGTGACATTGTACATTTAAAGGTCAATATTGAAAAATATATTGGCACCTTTGTATGTGGTGATGTTCAGTGAAAAGGTAATACCTATATGTTTTTCAACTAGTAGATGATTTCTTGTCTAGAAGTCAAGAGAATTGTATTTTAGTCGAGTTTCTACTACCATGTAGATATATAAACTTGAGAACATTGCTTTTGTAATACCCCAGGTCTTATTTTTACAAAATTAAGATAATTGACTATAGTAAGGAGGGTACATTATTACTTAGCACTTCCAAACCAAGACTCTTGTCATAGAGCTCTCACAGAACTGGTGCTGCACATTTTGCTTTGGGGAAATGTGGATCCAGTTCTGACATTCTGTGATTGCCCATCAGTGAATATTCTACAGAACTGAGGCACTTCAGAGAATTTCCTCCATTTCGTAATGGAGAGTAGTACTTTACAACTGAGAATTTATTATTTTCTAAATAGAACGTTTATTTACGATCAAAATTTTATTGTGAATGACTAGATAAAATAGCATCTCTTTCAACTTTTAGGTTGAGCCTTCATGTATACTGTTTGTATTTCGTGGCAGAAGTAGATTGGGCTATTTGATGGATATTAAAAGAACTTCAGAACTGAGTTCTAACAAACTCAGATTATTTTATGAGTGACCAAACCTTTTAGATTTGATGTGAACAAATTAGTGGCTTTTTTTGTTAATAATTAGACATGCAGGCTCAGCGCCTGTGGCTCAAGCGGCTAAGGCGCCAGCCACATACACCTAAGGTGGCAGGTTCGAATCCCCAGCCTGGGCCTGCCAAACAACAATGATGGCTGCAACCAAAAAATGGCCAGGCGTTGTGGCGGGCGCCTGTAGTCCCAGCTACTTGGGAGGCTGAGGCAGGAGACTCGCTTGAGCCCAGGAGTTGGAGGTTGCTGTAAGCGTGATGCCATGGCACTCTACCCAGGGGGACAGCTTGAGGCTCCGTCTCAAAAAAAAAAAAGAAAAAAAAATAATAATTAGACATGCAATTAATTTGCTTATTACAGTTTTAGTAACATTATATTTGCTACTAATTTTCTAGGGTAAAATGCCTTAAAAGCAATGTCTTGCAGGTCTTGCGTCTATAAGAATGATCAGGCTGCAAAGGATAATCCAAGTAAAAGTCTTCAGGAAGAAGAACCATGTCCAAGATTTGCCCATCAGCTTGTATATGATGAGCTACACAAGGTATCCTAGCTACATTGGCCTGTAAATGCCCCACAGCCTACAGTCTGAATGAATCCCCAAGTATATATTTCTGATTGTTTTAAAGTAGATTTTAATAAAAAGTTATAATACATAGCAGACATTCATTCAGTATCACTTCTCATTAAAATTCCTTAAGGGAATAAACATTTTTTTGCATAGTCTCTAATTCTTGCCACTTTTATTTTTTTGAAAATCGTCATTAGCTGCTTCTCAGCTATATAGATCAGATATATAGCATGGCTTATTGTTTGTACAGGATGGATATCCAAGTAAAAGATGTATGGTTTTCAGTATTTTGTACCTTATTCCATGATAAGAAAAGGAGGTATATAATTTCCTCATTTTAGATTTTCTCCCTGAATAAGAAGTCTTTTTATTTTTCTTATACAGAGTGGGAATAAAGGTCATGTGCATTTAAAGTTACAGCTATTTTTAATTGCATATGAACTTTATGTCCACACCGTATATGGGTAACATCTCTTTTCTATTAGCCTTGTGAAAATGATCCAGCATTCTGAAGTTTTAATATCACTAAGTGTTGAGAGTGATTTCTTTAACTATTTTCCCTTATACTTACCATGTACTTTAGTGATTAGACTCTGATTATATAGTAAATTACTGACAGAGCTTCATTCTTTTTGTTTAGGGCAGGGGTGACTTTTTAAATTCTATCCTATAGATTGAAACCTCTTAGTAAGAGATACCTAGGAGTGAATAAAAGCCCTTTCTCTTGAAGTCTTCCAATTTAAGGGGTAGATGAATTTCCATCTATAGAATAGAGATATTACTACTAACTCTATTATACTGTATAACACTAGTAAAATAGAAATGTTTTCAAAATTTCCAAAAGTACTAACTTTAATGTAATAATTAAATTATTGCATTTCTTTTACATTTCTGTTTTGGTAAATACTGTTTGGTTATTGAATAATGAAATAATATTTTTCAAGTTCACAAATTATATGTGCCATTTAATATTTGGCATTTAGGTTAAAGCAAAATTAAGATGTCACAGTTTTAAAAAGTTTCTAGTGGCTGGGCTCAGTCACTTACGCCTGTAATCCTAGCAGTCTGGGAGGCTGAGGCAGGTAGATTGCCTGAGCTCAGGAATTAGAGACCAGCCTGAACAACAGTGAGACCCCGTCTCTAAAAAAAACTAGCTGGGGCTTAGCGCCTGTAGCTCAGGGGTTAGGGCGCCAGCCACATGCACCAGGGCTGTTGGATTCATACCTGGCTAGGGCCTGCTAAATAACTATGACAGCATTAACAAAAGAAAAAATAGCTGGGTGTTGTGGCAGGTGCCTGCCACCTACTGGGAGGCTGAGGCAAGAGAATCACTTAAGCCCAAGAGTTTGAGGTTGGTGTGAGCTGTTACTCCACCGCACTCTACCTAGGGCGACATAATGAGATTCTGTCTCAGGGAAAAAAAAAAAAAAGCTGGGTGTTGTGACGGGCACCTATAGTCTCAGCGACTTGGGAGACTGAGGCAAGAGAATCAGCTATAACTCTACTGCACTCTACTGAGAGTGACAAAGTAAGATTCTGTCTCTTAAAAAGAAAAAAGTTTCTAGTTAACCTGTTAGCTGTGGATTTTTAGTGATTTCAACATGTGCATCAGAGTTTTTTTAAAATCTATCATTTATTATTGTGACCCAAACTTGATTAACTTGATAATTCTTATTATTTGTTGTCTTCATCAAACTTATACCTTGGATTGGCTTCTTCCCATCATTGCTTTTGTTTAATGTCTTCCATTATCACTGTAATTGTCATAATATAACTCATTTTAATATAAAATATATTAATAATTCTAAAAGGTAACCATGGTTCTTTAAGGTAAAAACGAAACTTGAGAAAAATCAAGAGAAGCCTTCGGTAAAAATGCAGTGTAATTTTAAATTTTTTATATGAATAAGGCTAAGGAAGTTACCTTGTATGTACTGGTCCCAAAACGAAGAAATTTTACTATGGGTTCTGTAGTTTCTTCATTGTGCATTTATTTTTAAAAGTCTCTAATTTTGTTTATTGTAGGTTCATTATTTGTTTGGTGGAAATCCAGGAAAATCTTGCTCTCCAAAGATGAGATTAGATGACTTCTGGTCACTGAAGTTGTGTAGACCTTCAAAAGATTACTTATTGAGGCATTGCAAGTACCTCATAAGAAAACACAGGTATAAAAATAATTCACTGAAAACTTTAACATTATCAGCTATTAGCATTACCTCACTTTGAAGATGTTACTTTCTCTTTGCAAATTTAGTAATAAGGCAAATTTAGTAATTTAGTAATAAGTATTAATGCTGTGAAGATTGTAGATTTTATCAGTGCCTTTTTATTCTACATATTTTTACTTTGTTCTTTCAAAGGAAAATAAAAAGTGAAGATATTGACAAGGTCTTACTATGTTGCTCAGGCTGGTCTCAAACTTCTGGCCTCAAGCATTTCCTCTGCCTTGACCTCCTAGGATTATGGGCATGAGCCACTGTGCCCAGCCTCCTCTGGCTTTTAATTGAAAAAGTAATGCATGCTTATTAAAGAAATTTAAAAGTCTTTTCTCCTAAAAGAATTGAATCACAAATCATTCCACCATTCACAAATACTAACTTAATATTTGAGTGTATGTCCTTTAACTTTTTCCTATTCATATATACACACATAGATTTTGTTTGTTTAACTGAAAAATAGGAATTATATATTTTTTTTTTCAAAAATATGGAATCACTTCACGATTTGCACGCGCAGGAGCATGCAGTACTCTCTGTATCGTTGCATCCTTGCGCAGGGGCCATGCTAATCCTCTTTGTATCGTTCCAATTTTAGTATATGTGCTGCCAAAGCAAGCACGCACGGAATTATATTGTTTTGAGTCTGATTTTTTTTTGATGAATGATGTGTCACATCTTATGTTAATAAATACAAGTCATAATTTTAATGGCTACATGGTGTTCTCTATGTGTAATTTATTTAACTAGTCTCCTTTTGTAAAATATTTAGATTTTTCCAACTTATTTGCTATTATAAATAACACTGTAGTTGATATATTCCATACTTCTTTTGTACTCCTATCTGAAAATTCTGTAGATTAGTGATAGAATTGGTAAATTATGAAATTATCTTCCAGAAAGTTGTTAATTTTCATTGTTTCCAGAAATATGTAGGATTATTCATTTTCTCATAGTCAGGCCAGCTGGAGAAGTATTATTCTCTATAAATTAATGACAGTTATTTCCCCCCTTCAAAAATATTTCAGTGGGTAGGAAATGAGTTTATCATCAATCAAAAATATGCATTATATCAAATACAAACATTGTTAGTGATGTGTGCTAATAAATGTGTGAAATGAGTGAGGAGTAGATGAAAAATAAAAGAACCAGCAGTGAGTCTTTTAAACTTGTAAATGTTTCTGTGGAAGACTCTAGCAAAATTTGTGGGCATGAGAATGATTTATGAAATAAAATAACTGAAATTGAAAGGCAAGTAAGTTTGTGTAATTGGACAAATGAACCTTTTGAATTTACTATTATGGGAAAAGAAGTAAGTCTAACACATCTTAGAACTTAAATCAAAAATGTCTTTGAAAGAGAATTTAAGAATCATGAAGACCCCATCCCTTCATATAGTTTTCAATTAGAATGATAATAATAGCATAGAAATATGGGACCATAGTACTCTTATTCTTCTCTGATTGTGCTCACTTTTTGGCTTTATTCTGATAATTGTCTTCTTAGAAAAAGTACTAGACCTGGATGTACTTTGGATTCATATTAAAGTTTTCTAACTTAATCTCTTTGGAGGTCACCTTGCTCATTTGTAGAATAGCAAAACAACTAGGTAAGGGTCTTTATAAACATCAATAAAACTATTTATTTAAGAAAGGTTTACTGAGCACCTACAGTGTGCTAGACATTGTCCTAGGCTCTTTGGATAGGCCAATGAAGAAAACCAACAAAAATTCGTACCCTCTAGTTTCCATTCTTGTGAAGGAAGACTAACAATAAACATCAAAAGGGGTTTATATTATACGTTATATGGTAAGTACTATAAAAAACAAACCAATTAAGAGTTATTAGTATGCAAATGAGGGATTTGGGAATGCAATTTGAAATGAGAGTATTAGAGTAGACTACACAGCAAAGATGGCATTTGATTAGAAACCTAAAGGACATGAGTGACTGAATCATATAGCTGTTTGAGGGAGGAAAGTGTTTTCAGACAAATGTGTGAATTATTTGAGGAGGAAATTGAGGAGGACAGTGTGGGAGTGTAATGAGTGAGATGTTGGCAGTACAAGAAGAGCTTGAAGGGAAAAGGGAAGGGACAGTTGGTAAAGGGCCTCAGCTTTTCTCTTAGGGAAAGGGGAACATTGAAAAATTTTAAGAAGAGGAGTGACACATTCAGGCTTATCTTTTCTAAAAATCCTTCTGTGTTTTCTTCCAGAAGAACTGAGTAAAAGCTGTGACTGCTTTCACTCAGATGTTGTTTCTGAATTTTTCAGAAACAAAAGAGTTATATGTCGGGAAAGATGGGACACTTAAGGTTTGAAAAGTCTGCATCTGTGAGCATTTGAAGAAAGTTGGCTTGACATTACAGTTGTGAGTCACCAGGGCGAGTGAGAAAGTGAAAGGATATGGGGCATTATCTGAGGACCATTGTCAGTTGAGGGACAGACGGGGAAGAGCCAACTCCACAAGAGATTGAGAAGATACAGTGAGATTCTGGATAAACTTTGAAGGTTGTGCCAACAGAATCTTGATGGATTTGATACAGGAATTAGGAAAAGAGAACAGTCCAGGGTGATTCCTTACCACATACTGAGAATCTTATTTACTACTAATTCTCACTGACAATAAAAGGCCCATATCAGACATTTGAAAGAATGTAGACCATTTTCTCTATCAAACTTAGATGAATTCAAGAGTTTAAGGAGCATTGCTATTTTGTAGGCAGAACAGATAGAAGTTTGTATTTATGGATTGGGTAGAACATGAAAATTGCCTTTTTAGTTCAAATTTCATGCCAAGTGGACTTAAGTTTTTATTATATGAAAGTTTATACTATATTGCTAGGCTGGCTTATGTATTTTTGTTGTTGTTCATAATGGAAAATAATTACAGAACCTCTGTAAGTTGACCACTGCAGGGACTGTAACAAAGGGAAGACTCTGTCTCTTAGAAAAAAAAAAAAACTTGATACAATGTCTGTCATATTACAAATGCTTGGTGACTGGTTGCTACAATTGTTATTTCTGCTATTGCTGTTATTACTGACTGAGCTATGGAAATAATCTCATTAAAAATACCTAATCATCTGGCTCGGTGCTTGTTGCTCAAGCTCATATACACCTAAGCTGGTGGGTTTGAATCCAGGCTGGCCCGCCAAACAACAATGATGGCTGCAACCAAAAAAAATAGCCAGGCACTGTGGCGGGCGCCTGTAGTCCCAGCTACTTGGGAGCCGGAGGCAGGAGACTCGCTTGAGCCCAGGAGTTGGAGGTTGCTGTGAGCTGTGATGCCATAGCACTCTTCCCAGGGTGACAGCTTGAGGCTGTCTCAAAAAAAAAAAAAATAATAATCAGGCTCCGCGCCCATAGTTCAGTGGTTAGGACACTGGCCACATACACCAGGGCTGATGGGTTTGAACCCAGCCCAAGCCAAACAATGGCAACTACAGCAAAAAAATAGTTGGGCACTGTGGTGGGCGCCTGTAGTCTCAGCTACTTGGGAGGCTGAGGCAAGAGAATCACTTAAGCCCAAGAGTTGGAGGTTGCTGTGAGCTGTGACGCAACGGCACTCTACCAAGAGCGACATAATGAAACTCTGTCTCAAGAAAAAAAAAAACCCTAAGCAATGTCAATGACACTCATTAAAAGAGACCATACTCATTTCAGTTTCCAAAGTATCTATTTTCTCTCTACTTGTTTTACATGAAACATATTGGGCTTTTTTCTAGTAGTTACATAAAATATTTAGTACATTCACTATGAGTTTTTTGGCAATTTTTGGTCGAGGCTGGGTTTGAACCCACCACCTCCTTTGAGCCACAGGCACTGCCCAAGATTCACTATGTTTTATAGGTGGTTTAGCCATTGCTTGTAATTCTAAGGGAATGAAGTGCCCTTAGCCAGTCTTGAGCACTGCCACGTCCCATGGCCGCCTAGCATTGCCATTACCTCTCCAGCAACTCCACATCTGTACTATCTACGTGGCAATATTCTTACCTCTGGATTCCTGTGTGAACACCAGTTATTTAGATGTCCAGAATAATTCTTTATATATGATATATTTTACTCCAGGTCTGAAAGATGTTTCTGATGTTTTCTTACAAAATTCTAATTATTATTCTTGTTTACATTTTCTAGGTTTGAAGAAAAGGCCCAGTTGGATCCCCTTAATGCTCTGAAATATTTACAAAATGATCTTTATATAACTGTGGATCATTCAGACCCAGAAGAGACGAAAGAGGTAAAGAAAAGTGGTACTAAACTTTAGAAATTGAGTAGTATTGTTTAAAATGTGTTTCTAAAGTATATTGCTGATTTTGCTTTTGAGTGTTTAAAGGAAAATGAAAATTTGGTTATATAAGTAATCTTTAAAATGACCAGAGCAAGTGAAATCAAACTTGAATAGGCATATTTTCATGTGATAAGATTGAATTCACACCCAAAACCTCTTGATTTATTTACTTATTTATTTACTTTTTAAAACAGTCTCAAGCTGTCGCCCTGGGTAGAGTGCTATGGCATCACAGCTCACAGCAACCTCAAACTCCTGGGCATCAGTGATTCTCTTGCCTCAGCCTCCCAAGTAGCTGGGACTACAGGCACCTACCACAACATCTGGCCATTTTTTTTTTTTTAATGGCAGTTGTCGTTGTTGTTCTAATTGGCCTGGGCCGTGTTCGAACCCACCAGCCTCGGTGTATGTGGCCGGTGTTCTACCCACTGGGCTACAGGCACCGCCCTCTTGATCCATTTAGAAAAAAAAATTTCAGGTATAAAGTTTTAACTTAGACATTAGTTTTGTGTTTGGGGAAGGAAATAGAAATTTTTTCTTTTTCCATACCCCAGGGTTCTTTTACTTAATAGTTCAATATAAACTTTTCTGTTGCCAGTTAAGATTGTTCAAGAGAGCAAAGCATACTCCCTTTTTTTGTAGGGAGAAAGTGAAGAGAGGTTGGTAGGAGTGGAATTATTGCTACGTTATTCAGTTATATGAATGTTGTAGCAACATAGCTTGAATTTACTCATTTGTAGTTCCTAAGCTTGAGAAATCAGAAGCCTAATCATTACTTTTCAGTGCTTTATTATATAACATGGGATGGAAACAACTATTTGTAAAGATGTCATTTTCTTAAGGCCATATTTATTCATCCACCATGTGTGAATATGCCAGTAATGAGTTTTCACGGTTTCACAGCCTCTTTTCACTAATTTCTGGGATTCCTTTTTGCCAGTCATCCTTGTTCATCTAGTCGTATCTCACCTGTAGTCCATTTTGCCTTCTATCACATAATTAGTGTTTATAATAATATAATAGTTCAGTCTTTTGGTCTGTTTCAGTGTGAGCTGTTGCTTTGCTTTGTCATTGTAACAGCAGTATCCAGCAGTGCTTTTCTCCTTACGCATTGACACAGGTGTCAGGCTCAATGTCACATCACTTCCAGATAGCAGGTTCATTCAAGCCTTGGAGGCTGTGCTTTCAAGCAATGGAGTCTGCATGTCTTTAGCACAAAACCGAGAGATACTCTTTCAAAGTTTCCTGCTGTAAAAATTAGTTCTGTTTCTCTCCCTCAGTGTTGGTTACAGCCCTTCACTAAGTAGAGAATCAGCAGAACACATTGTAGAA